ACACCAGCAGTCTACACGTCGTCTTGGTTTGATGACATCACGCACAAGCTCCTACGGGTCCGTCAAATTCGTCACTCAGGCAATCGCAGCAGGCACCCCCCTTGGCAGGCTCTGCTCGCCCCCAAGTCCAAAGCAATCATCAGCGACCCGATGGTTGCCGGGGAAGTGGCCCAGAAGATGGCCCTGCATGACATAAAAAACATTGTCGCGAAGAAAGCCGTCGACTTAGGTGCGGATCGAGGCGCTGGCATGAGAGCCCGACCGAAGGCCGCCGCCCGTCAAAGCCGCCTGGCTCCAGGTTGGTCGCAGAAGTAATTTCCTGGCGGCAGGGCGACGACGACGAATGGCAGCACGATGTGTCGTGCAATTAGTTAGCATGGTCAAAGTCCAGTATGATGCCGCTGTGCGCGCACACAGTCCTCATCTTCAGTCTTGGCATGGAGGCGAGATATCGCCCGCGCTCTTGAGCCGTCCGTTCGAGGCAGGTGCCCAGACTCCCTGCTGCAGACAGAGTTGGGCAACAAGGGCCCAGATATTGCCCGGGAGTGGAGGATGGTCGACTCGTGGATGACGGTCATCACAGCAGGTGCTAGAGATTGATCTGGAGTGCTTCGCGACTGGTCAGTTCATGTACAGCGAGCGCGCAGCAAGCCAGAACAGACATGGAGAAAAAGCAACGGGGCCCGCACGGGCCATAATCAACACCCTCCTGGACCTCGAGCGGCACCCCGAAGGCCCTTGGGACTGGGTTTCAGACCAGCGAGAACGATTTCGAGCCTGCGAAGTTGTTATGGTACGAGGTGTCCGATTTGAAGGATGAGTTAGCTGCTAATTTTCGGAGGGGGATATAGAGGATAGCCGCGAAACATTACGAGTGAGAGGATGTAGAAGGAGAGGATTATCTCGATGATGTTCGGCGGGGGCTGGCTGCCGCTAGAAGAGCTCGGAAGATCCAGTGGACTGTTTCAGGAGGGCAATGGCCATGGCGTCGCGTCGCCGAGGTTTGTAAGCCACAAGAACTGACCGTGCTTTGTGAACGATGTGGAGAAGAGGAGGGCTTTCTTTTCCATAGAGTTCGGGGGTGCAGGTGCAACGAAGAGGCGGTGGCAACGAAGGCTTCGAATTGCTTGTCGCCGCGTGCTTCCGCGCAGCGCGGGGCCCATCCCGCTGCATGGCTCCGAGGTCTAACCCCGACGAGTTGGATCGACGTGCCAGATCCGCCACAGGAGCAGGTCGCCGAGATTGTTTGCCACGGTCTGTGGCCGAGTGAAGTAGGATTTCTTGCGGGCGCTGGAGAAACTTCAGGTCGAGAGCACGCATTGTCCAGTTCGTTCCGCCGATTTGCGTGGTCTTTTGTTGTGTTCTACCACTTTTCCCTCGCGAAGCCGTCGCCCGAACTCGAGCTGGCTAGACAGTCGGCAGGTGCAGTCTGGGGCGCCCAGACCATCAACTACGGCGAATTGCTGGCCTTTCTGAAGTTCTTAGGGGGGGCCCCAGAAGGCCCGCTTTTTATTTACGTCACGGACTTCACGTACGTGTCGCTGAATGCCCCCAAAATCGTGAACAACCATTTGCCAGAGCAATATATATATAGATGATTGGCTTAGGGTTCAAACAGTCTTGAACAACAGGGAGGTCAGTGTGATCAAAATCGAGCCCCACACGAGCCTTGAAAGGGCGGCTTTGGAGCGCACGCCGGTTCTCGCTTTTGTAGGCAACGATTTCGCGGACGCATTGGCTGATGCAGCGGCCAAGAGAATCCATGTTGAGCCAGGCCTTATGGAGGCCGTTCGGATGAACTTGGCCCTCACTAGGAACGTTTGAATTCGAGCCACCGAGGTTGTCCTGAGTAGGTCCTGGCGCCCGACGGGAACCGTCGAGAGCCTGACGACCCAACGGCGAGAGATCCACGCGGAAGTCGCGCGCCAGCAAGGCTGCGACTGGGTTGGCCCTTGGGAAGAAGTTCGCACGTTTAAAGACAGAGAGCGCCCATGAGTTGCAGTCTTGTGAAGGGAATCTGCGCTGTTATTCTCGGTGCCTTTCGGTTGTTTCAGTAAATCCGTGCAGTAACAGGCCTGCGCAAGCCGTCCGGTCTTCTGAGTGCTCTCCTGCGGGTCCCTGGAGCGGCTCGATGTCGGTCTTTGGTGTCCGCGCGGTCGGGCGAGCTTTCATAGGTGCTTCTTACGTCCATGAGTCCCACCAGAAGGTAGTCGCGGGTAGAGGCACGTTCATGTGTGAATCTTGCGGCGCATACGCCGTCCGCAGTTGTCAAAACTTCAAGAAGGAGTGTGCCCCCACCACAGGAGCAGGGAAAACCTCGCTCGATAAAGTCGTGAAAAGGTTACCTGTGGAGTTTTGCAGCGCCCCGCTCTAAGGAGCGGGCTTCGGCCCTTTTTGCAACGACCGCTGGTCAGCATCGGGGTCCTCATCCTCGTCCTTCTCCTCCTCCTTCTCCTCCTCCTCCTGCCCCCCCGTCCTCCTCTTCCTCCTTCTCCTCCTCTTTCTTCTCCTCTAGTTATTCCTCCCCCTCCTCTAGTTTCTCTTCCTCCTCCTCCTCCTCATCCTCCTGTTCCACGTCCTCGTCCTCCTCCTCTTCCTCCTCCTCCTCCCGTTCGTCCTCCTCCTCCTTCTTTACGGCATCCTTCTCCTCCTCGAGTTTCTCCTCCTCCTGCTCTTCCTCCTCTGAGTTTCTCCTCCACCTCCTCCTCCTCCTCATCGTCCTCCTCCTCCTCGTCCCTCCTCCTCCTCCTCCTCCTCCTCCTCTCTTCCCCTCCTCCTCCTCCTCCTCCTCCTCCTCCTCCTCCTCCTCCTCCTCCCTCCTCCCCTCTCCCCTTCCTCCTCCTCCTCCCACCTCCTCGTCATCCTCCTCCTCCTCCTCCTCCTCCTCCTCTTCCTCCTCCTCCTCCCCTCCTCCTCCTCCTCCTTCCCCCCCCCTCATCCTCTAGCTATTCCTCCCCCCTCCTCTAGTTTCTCTTCATCCTCCTCCTCATCATCCACTTCCTCCTCCTCCTGTTCCTCCGCCTCCTCCTTCTCCTCCTCCTCCTCCTCCTCCTCCTGTAGCTATTCCTCCTCCTCCTCCTCCGCCTCCTCCTCCTCCTCCTCCCTCTCCTCCTCTAGTTTTTCCTCCCACTCTTCTAGTTCCTCCTCCTTCTCCTCCAGTTTCTCCTCCTCCGCCTCTCCTCCTCCTCCTCCTCCTCCTCCTCCTCCTCCTCCTCCTTCTCCTCCACCTCATCTTGCTTCTCCTCCTCATCTTCCCCTTCTCTAGTCGTTCATCCCCCGTCTCTAGTTTCACCTCCTCTTCCTCCTCCCTCTCCTCCTCTAGCTCCTCCTCCGCCTCATCGTCCCCCTCCACTTCTTCATCCTCTTCTGTCTCCTCTTCCTCCTCCATCTCGTCTTCCTCCTCCTCCAGTCCCTCCTCCTTATCCCCCCCCCCTCCTCCTCCTGCTGCTGGTTGTCCTCCTCCTCGAGTTGTTATTCGTCCATCTTCTCCCCCTACCTTCCTCCTCGTCCTCCCCGTCTTCCTCCTCCTCCTCCTCTTCCTCCTGCTCCTCGTCCTCAAGTTATTATTCCTCCGTCTGCCCCTCCTCCCCCTCCTCCTCCTCCTCCTCCTCCATCTCCTCCTCCTCCTCATCATCATCATCATCTCCTCATCATCCTCATCCTCTTCCTCCTCTCTTCCTCTTCCTCCTCTTCCTCCTCCTCCTCCTCCTCTTCCTCCTCCTCCTTCTCCCTCCCTCCCTCCCTCGTCCTCCTCATTATTCTCCTTCTCTTCCTCCTTTTCCGTCTCCTCCTCTTCCTCCTTCTCATCCTCCTCCTCAAGTTGCTTGTCCGTTCCCCCTCCTCATCCCCCCCCTCCTCACCATCATCATCCTCCTCTTCCTCCTCCTGTTACTTTCCCTCCTCCTCCTCCTCCTTCTGTCCTCCAGTTCCTCCTCCTCCTCCTCCTCCGGTTTCTCTTCCTCTTCCTCCTCCTCCTCTTCCTCCTCTTCGTCTTCCTCCTCCCTCCTCCCTCTCCTCCTCCTCCTCCTCCTCCTCCTCCTCTTCCTTCCTCCTCTTCTCCTCCTCCTCCTCCTCCTTCTCCTCCTCCTCCTCCCCCCCTCCTCCTCTAGTTCTTTCTCGTCTTCCTCGTTCCCCTCTTCTAGTTTCTACTCCTCCTCATCTTCTAGTTCCTCTTCCTCCTCCTCCTCCTCCTCCTCAAGTTCTTCTCCTCCTCCTCCCCTTCCTCCCCCTCTTCCTCCTCCTCCTGCTCCTGTCCCCCCCTCCTCCTTGTCCCCCTCCTCCTCCTCCTCCTCCTCCTCCTCTTCCTCCTCCTCTTCCTCCTCCCCAATCCTCCTCCACTTGGCCTCCTCGTACTCGTTATCGTCCTCCTCCTTTTCCTCCTCCTCCTTCTCCTCCTCTAGGTTCCCTCTGGGCCTCCCAAGTGGTGACCGTCCGCAGAAGTTGCCAGCCACCATGCAAGTTGCGGTGTGGTGGGCAGGCTTGCTTGGGTAGTTTGTAATTGTCCAGGCCTCACAGATGCGGTCGAAGTAGAGATAGGCTCAGAGGATCCCGCCGCATCGCCGGTACATCGGCGATGCGGCTCGATGAGGAGCCCGAAGTCCTCCACGCCGACGCCGCCGACGCATCGCCGACGTCGATGCATCGGTGATGCATCGACGATGCGGTGCGATCCTCCGACCCTATCTCCTGTAACCCCACCTGGGAGGCCTCTAGTTCCTCACACGACAGACGTGTTGGGAGCCCCTGCCCGCATGCACGCACCGATTTGGGGAAGCAGGGTGCCACCTTCTCGCCGTGACAGCAAGCGGCGGCATGTTGGTGCTGTCTTCGGCGTAGTGGGGGCCTTGCTGGTCCACGGGGCCGTCAACAAAACGACTGGGGATGAGAGATCGGTCCCGGGGAGCTGGCCCAGACCACCGGAGGTCCACGCAGAGAAGAACACGACGACGTCTGAGCCCAAAGAAAGAGGCCCGGCCTAAGACGTCCCCGCTGCGACAGAGCGCGGGTGGCGGACTTCCAGGGGTACAGTGACAGAGGGATGAAGCTCCACTTCGACGACGAGGACCTGGTGCCGATCTGGGCACACCTGGCCCGGGCGCAGGTCCTCGTGCTGTCCAGGAGCTCCTTCTCGATCATACCCGCCCTGCTGAACCGGAACTGCGTGGTCTACGTGAACAAGCCGGGGGGGGCCAGGGGCATCCCTGGCCCAGGGCGCCCCCAGGGTCTCGAAGAGTGAGCCTTTGCCAGAGTGACTTTTGGTGTGGGCCCGATGGGGCCCCCCGACAGGGAGGGAGAGAGGGAGGGAAGGAGGACGAGCAAGCAGGACGAGGACGAGTGAGGGGCCAGGAGCGAGCAGGAGCGGCTTGCGCGCCCAGGTTTGGCCACCCCGCGTCCCCCGTTAAGCCGCGCACCAAAGCTCACTCTTACTCAGGGTCACTCTCACGTGTAGCCGAGCCCCTACTCAGGGTCACTCTTACTCAGGGTCACTCTTACTCAGGGTCACTCTCACTCTTACTCAGGGTCACTCTTACTCAGGGTCACTCTTACTCAAGGTCACTCTTACTCAGGGTCACTCTTACTCAGGGTCACTCTCAGGGTGCCCCAGAAGTCAGACTCGTCTAATCGATCCCCATCCCCTGCCCCATCCCTACCCCCACCATCCCACCACCACGATTTGGGAGATGCCCCCTCGAGACTCGAAGGGAGCAGCCTGTATATCCATCAAACGTGGCAAACGGTACATCGACCAGCGGGACCCAGGCCACGCTGTTGGGGCCTTCAGTGCGCCCCATTGTGAGGCCCAGGGGGTCCCAGATTCCAGAGCTACGAGACGTGTCGAAGGCCTTTTCTGGCGCTCCCCCATCCGGGCTTTGGACCCCACAAGCAGAGCACAGGAGCAGAGACGAAGGAGGAAGCGATAAGAGCGAAAGAGAGAGAGAGAGAGAGAAACAGAAAAGGACGAGAGCGAGAGCGGGAGAGCGCGCCTCCAGGACGACGGGACCAGACGACGACGACGACGACGACGCGGCGAGACGCCGAGGGCGCTGGTCACCAGGCCGTCGTCGTCGTCGTCGTCGTCATCGTCGTCACGAGGGCGCCCGGGACCAGGGACGCCTCGGGAAGCCCCCGAGCGAGATCGACGCCCGGGAGGAGTGGGTGCGGGGCGACGACGAGGGGCGCGCCACCTACCAGGAGGAGTTGCGGGAGTGCATCGCCCGCGGCACGGGCCGCGCGGGCGTGTCCGCGGACCTCCCGCCCGAGAAGGGGCAAAAAGAGGGCTCCTGCTCCATCTCCTGCTCCTCCTCCTCCTGCTCCTCCTCCTCCTCCCTCCTCCTCCCTCCTCCTCCTCCTCCTCCTCCTCCTCCTCCTGCTCCTCCTCCACCTCCCTCCTGCTCATCCTCCTCCTCCCCCCACCCCCAGAGGGGGCAAAACAAGCCAGAGTGGTCGGGCGGAGTGCAGAGGGCTTGTACCAGGCAGCCCAGAGAGCCCACGCTCCTTGAAAAACCGGAGCGGGCGCTTGTTCGCCGCCTTCGGCCTCCGAGGGCCCTCGCCAGGCCTCGCCAGCCGGACTTGCGCTGACATGGAGACCGATGCGCCAGCGATGTGGAGCCCCCATTTGTTCCATTGCCGACGTCGCCGATGCATCGCCGACGTCGCCGTTGCATCGCCGTTTCGGCGCAATCCTCCACCCCCATCTACTGCGAACCCATGTGGAAACTGTATTCTTCTTCTTACAACAATTACTACTACGTTTACTAGTGTTACTACTACCACTACTACTGGTACTACTACTACTACTACTACTATTACTACTACTACTACTACTACTACTACTACTACTACTACTACTACGACTACTACTACTACTACTACTACTACGACTACTACTGCTACTTTTGCTGTTCTTACTGCCACTACTATTACTACGACTACTGTTACTACTACTAATACTACTACTACTACTACTACTACTACTACTACTACTACTACTACTACTACTACTACGACTACGACGACTACTACTACTACTACTACGACTACTACTACTTCTACGATTACAATGACTATTGCGACGACGACGACGACGACTTCTACTATTACTACTACTACGACTGCGACTGCGACTACGACTGCGACTACGATCACGACTACGGCCACGACTACATATACCAATTCGATTACTACTACTACCACCACCACCACTACTACTACTACTACTACTACTACTACTACTACTACTATTCCTACAACAACAGCTACTACTACTACTACTAGTACTGCCACTACTACTACTACGACGACTACTATTTTTTACTACTACTACTACTACCACTACCACTACTACTACTACTACTACTACTACTACTACTACTACTACTACTACTACTACTACTACTGCTACGACGTACTACTATCACTGCTACGACTACCACTACCACTACTACCACTACTACTACTACTACCTCGACTACTGCTACTACGACTACTACTACTACTACCACTTCTACTACTACTACTACTACTACTACTACTACTACTACTACTACTAGTACTACGACTACTACTATTACTACGACTACTACTACTACTTGTACTAGTACTGGTACTAGTACGAGTACTACTACTACTACTACTACTACTGCTACTGCTGCTACTACTACTACTACTATTTCTACTACTACTACTACTACTACTACTACGACTACTATTACTACTACTACTACTACTACTACTACTACTACTCCTACAACAACTACGACTACTATTACTACCACTAGTACTACGACGACGACTACTACTACTACTACTACTACTACTACTAGAACTACTCCCACTACTAATACTAACATTATTACTACTACTACTACTACTACTGAAATGACCACTACTACTACTACTACTACTACGGCTGCTACGACTGCTACTGTTACTCTTGTTCTTACTGTTACCACCAGTATTACAACCACTACGGCTCTTACTACTGCTACTTGTTTGTCAGTTTTTTGTTTATTCTTATTCCTACTACTACTGTTACTCCGACTGCTATTACTATTTCTACAGTACTTACGACTACGACTACTACTATTACTACTACTACGACTACTACTACTACGCCTACTACGACGGCGCTTACTACTGCTACTGCTATTAATAAAACTAGAACCAATCATACGACTACCACTACGGCTACTAGCACTGCTACCCCCACTATGACTACGACTACGATTACTATTACTCCTACTTTCACGACTGCTACGACTACTACTACGACTATTAGTACTACGTCTGCTACTACTATTACTAGCACTACGATTACTACTACTACTACTACTACTACTACTACTACTACTACTACTATTACTAGTACTATTACTACTACTACTACTACTACTACTACTACTACTCCTATCCTTATTCCTTATTAGAATATACTCCTACTCCCCCCTCAGGCCGGCCATTAGGGGCCGCATCCGGGTGGTCCCATCCTAACCTGTAAAAAAAATACAAAATCAACATTTTTCTTATTTTTTCCTCTCGACATGGACGTCCTGTCGTCCACGGCGATAATCCATTGCAAAAAATACCACAAAGAGCACACGCGCGCGTTCATGTCAGAATCCTACCGAACACCGTGTGTTTGCAAGCATTTCAACATAAAAACATCAAAAACCCAATGCTTTTTTCACAAAAATTGTACAAATTTCCCGCCCGGGCTCTCTTGCTGAAATCATAGGAAAACCATAGGAATCTTAAGAATTCGGTCAAATCCAGCGATTTCACGTCATCGCGCGGTGCACTCGCGATGCTCTGTCATGCACCCAGGCCGCGAATCCTGTGCAAAAAATACCACAAAGAGCACACTCGCGCGTTCATGTCAGAATCCTACCGAACACCGTGTGTTTGCAAGCATTTCAACATAAAAACATCAAAAACCCAATGCTTTTTCACAAAAATGCTTTGGGGTGTCCTGTCAGACCGTCGGGCTTCCTCCGGCCACCTCTGGCTTCCTGCGGTGTACCGGGCCATTCTCGACTCGTCTGGCAATGCGTGCGCGGCATTCAACACGCGCTCGCCAGTTCCCGTCGGCAACCGCCATCGCGGCCGCATCAGCTGTACCAAACCGGCTGGCCGGTGTGACTTCGGCCCCCAGTTGTGCCAGCTTTGCTTCTTATGTTGTGGGAGGGCGGGTGGGACTGGGCATGCCATGCTTGACTCGCTCGAGCTGGCTAGCTTGACTCCTACTACTACTACTACTACTACTACTACTACTACTACCACTTCTACTTCTACTTCTACTTCTACTACCACTGCTACTACGACTGCTACTACTACGACTACTACTACCACTTTTGCTAGTGCCTCTATTTCTACTATTTCCTATTACTGTTACTACGACGCTTTCTAATATGTAGAAATATTCATACATAAGGTGAGTTATAGTGAGAGAAATAGAGACTAAGGTCGATATAGCCATAGGGAAGCCCGTGTGTAGTTCAACGGGCGGCGCGTGAGACCGATCTACCGTGAGTCCGATAGAGGTTGCCTGATGGATGGACACGGCCGTTGCGATACATGTCCCGATGATTCTCTCGATAGAAAGCGAGTAGTGATAAGGATAGAGGGACCGTGGAGTCGACAGACGCTCGTACCTAATATACAGACATTCTACAGTGGGACCAGTGTATGTAACAGTGCTTGCATTTACATCGGCAAGACGGTTGTGCTATCGGTGGACAAACGGTGATATGGATAGGCAGTGGGATTGAATATGATGTAAATATTTGTGTTTGTATACATAGAGTAATACCAGGAGATAAGTAAATCGATGGGCAAATGGTGACGCCGACCGCTCGTGAGGCCGATTGGGATGATTTGTGATGGGTGAAGGCGGTTGTCCCGATGGTCCTGGTTCATCCGAAAGTGCCTTGTGATTGTTACCGTTTCGCATTTCAGGCTCTTGACGACATGAAGACGCGAAGGCAACGTTGCGGCGTGTTCCAGCGTTTGTTGTGTCATGTTTTCGTGTTTTGCGTTTTTGTTGTTCCGTCGCTGTGGACCATTGTAGTTGTTTGTGTTTGTTTTGTCGAGGGGTTTCTCTTTGTCTTCCCTGCCGTCTTCGCTTCCCCGCTCTCCCGTTTTTGCTGCCCCCCGTTTCTCCCGCTCCGCGCGCAGATACACTAGCGCAAACAGCATTGCCGTGACACAGGTCTAACGCCGGCGAGAAACAGTTGTCGAAGTTCCGCGACAAGCCAGCAGCCACGGCCAGAGAAGACCAACAGGCAACAGGAACACAACATAATAACATCAATGAGAGGACACGAACGCAACGAGAAGGAATGGAGAACTTCGTAGACGGCAATGTTAAGCGACCCATTCAGCTGATCTGAAAACATTCGCATACTCAGCTAAACACGCAAGACAAGCTGGTAGTGCTTTCCATCCTTTGAGTTTTTTCTCTTAAGCATGTTGTGACCTGGAAGCGTTCGGAACAGGATTTCCACGATTCCGAGTTCAAAGCTGTAGAGTATCGCCCAGTGCAAATTTATAACGAACGACGCCGATGGTCGTCCCGCTGTTGGTTCCACCCGCCCTAACGTTCTTGTCGGCCTTCGGCAGGAAATACAGGCGTGTTGGGTATTTATGCGTTCATGTCGACTGAAATCGCCCAATCGTGCTAGAAGGTCGTTTTTGGAATTGATTGTACAAGTTCGGCACCGCGGTCTTTGTCGCAACGCATTGTACGGTTTTGCTGCGATATAGATGTGGTAGTCGCCATGTGATGTCGTGCTCGCGACATGAGCTGCCGCTGGCGCGCACCACGCCAAGACGCGAGCCCCGGCGTGAACGGTGTGGGCTTTTGTTGCGGGGGATTCAGCATCGCCAGATATCATCATACATTTTGGTACATGCTCCGCGTGCGGACCATGTATTAAAAAATAAGGGGTTTATTAATCAATACAAGGATGAACTGATGCATTAAATTATTCATGCATGAATCATGTATTATAATTCCTATATGGTTCATAATCCTATGTATTAGAAACTGCCCGGTATGTCCCAATTCGACCGAAGATACTCGGCATGTCCCCCACCGTCCGCAATGTGACCACGAGGTGGCAGTTCGATTTTTTGACGCTTCATGCATCCCCTCCAGCCCACCCAAAAACGATGCCCAGGCGGGTCGCCTCTCAGAGCCTCCTCGGCTGTCTCTTGGAAGCTCGTTGGAGGCATCTTGGAGCGTCTTCCACCGCCCACCAAACCACCCCAAC